ATAATTGTTCACACCTATCAATAGTATTGTCCTTGAGCTCTGTTACCAATTTCAGAGCTATCGTATCAGTAGTATAGCGTCAGTTGCGATTTAACCTGTTCCCGCTCGATGCATCTTGACTACCTTTTTCAATTAAGGTGGCAAATTGTTACCAATTTGAGAATTGAATGATTTCTGGAACAAGAAAAGGTGGCAAATTTTATTAATATTCTAGTTTTATACTTGTGGTGTTGAAATACTGACAAGCAATCACATATATATTATATACACAAGTCAAACACATTGATCGGTAGTTTATTTGACTTATATAAAGTGACAATGTAAGCCCACATGCCGAAATATGCCACCCCAGTGCACAGTATTCAAGTGCAGCTTAATCTGTACATCTTCATGCTTCACTGTTAAATGATCTCTGTCGAGTTCTATGACTCAGAAGAATAACATTATAAAAATGCGTGTTTAGATGTCATATAACTCGTGATTTATTTTTAGATAGACCTTTTACTTTTTCAGTGTACATAGACCAAGTGTAAGCTTGATATACATGTTCACACTTAGTAGATTACTATGCTACGTTGTGTATATGTGTTGTGCATACACAAGGACTGATTATCAATGTGTTTGTAACTTTTAGTATTAACTATCGTCACTCATACTAAATAGCAAGCTATGTCAATACCTAATATTAATATGCTCTTAAAAGTATAAAATGTGGAAATATAGGAGAAATAAATTAATATGAGGAATTATACAAGAGAAATAAAAAATATGTAATATATATATTTTTAGAAAAATAGTAAATATGAAAAATGAATGAAATATATTTTAGGAAAATAATATATATGAAATAAATATGCCATATATTTTTCATAAATATGGCATATTTCATAAAATAATAGTATTCCTAATTTTAAATATGTACATATATTTGTATTTCCTAAAATAATACATACGTGTATAAAACGTTGAAAATAATAATATGCACTTTACGTTTATTTGTATGTGTTCAAGCTGACTCTTTTAGTGATAAAAGTTTGAGAATTTTATTGGGAGAAAGTCCCTTATTACTCTATTTATATATATTGCCATTCGTGGATTAATCCGTAGCTCGAATAGGAAAGGGCTACAATTTGGGTCTTTCTATATTCTTATACTGTAATACTGGGTCTCAAATGGCTTCATTTTCACTATATTTGGATTAAATACAGTTTCTAGAACAAATAGCTATGCTTTTTGTCTTTTTTAAATAAAAACGTCTCTCAGCTTTTAGAAGATGTAGTTAAATGTTTCATTTTTTCAACTCGTACAGACGTACACATAGCCTTTAATTTGTTTTTAAACAAAATACAAAAACAAAATTAGACATTCTAAAACTCAAGACCAAGTGATTCAATTCGTTGTCTTCATGGGTTTTTCTTTTTTTAAAACAAATCAAACAAACAAAAACCGTCCTTAGTCCCATGTACAGTCTGACCTGGGTATTAGACCGATTCCGCGGTGGAATATTTTCCGGACTAGTATCCAGAAGACTAGTCTTGTAGGTTTTGATTGGTCAAGTCAGACATTGTTTTTTATTCATTTTGTGACTCCAATCGACATCTTTACGAGGTATTGTAGGAAAAAAAAAGTTCATCATTACTTACTGAGACTTAGCTTCTAGTATTGAAGTGAAAGGATGTTCTGTTGATGATTCACCAATGTCAAGGTCTGATGTGTCGCACTCCATTGAGCCTTCTTTTATGGAACTTATAGTTTCTGTTGCTGTAGCCATAAGTATCTGAGCGTCTTGCTCAATATCCATCTACTCTTGTGTTGCTTCTCGTAGCTGATCACCGCTAGGAGGTGTTGTCTGTGTTTCCCCAGTGTCATTCACACGTAGTGACACCATTAGTTTGGTCACTTTATCGACGAATGCAGCTCAACGTTGAAACTCAGCCTTTTTCATCTTCACCCTCGTATTCACATCAATATCAGATGGGGTTTGCTTATCAAAATATAAAACACGTAAAAAAAATACAGACCCATGTTTTCTGGACTAGTATCCAGGTTGACTGGTTTAGCAGGTGACTAATAAACAGGTCTGACGGTATAATGTTGCCTGATTGGTTTGGTTGACCAATAATTTTAATGAACGGGGTGGAGCCTGGGACTCTTGGAGGTCATAAAAATATTCACAACCTTTATGTACCCATCTAAAAATAAATTCCATAATTTCCAACCAGCAAGACTCAAGAGTGCAGTATTTATGTAAATACCCTTTATAAAAACTCGCGTTGTTTCTCCATTTGATTGCTTTTTTTGAAGATAAAAAGAAAATAAAAAGCAAAATTCTTCCTAGTTCAAGTGAGTGAATACAAACCGATTTTTATTTAGTGAACTAGTTACTATAGTAGTAGAGCCAGAGGGATATGGGACTACACTACTACTAGTAGCCTCTCTCACTCTCGTAGGTCGTCGACTCCTCTCTCGCTAGATGGGAGGATAGATAATAATAGGTATTGATGCAAAACGAGTACATATTTGTTCGGAGCATCGTTGGAATGTAGATTTTGCAGTATATTCTTGTGGTTCAACCGTTCAGCCTTTCACAGCAGTGAATCACAGGTCACAAACTCACAGGACAAGAGCCAGACTTTACTTTTCCTGGAAGAGTTCATTTAATTTTCTTTGAATTGCTTTTGAATTCTATACCATTTGTAGCCCCCGAAATTGTTAAAAAGAAAAAGAAGGCGGCTATGTCTATACGTTTTATTTTTTCACGTATATGTTTTGTTATTAGAAACAAATGGGGGCTATGTCTATACGTTTTCATTGTTTTGAAAGAAAAGCATAAAAATAGTATGTATTTTCTATTTAGGCCCCGTCTTAAAACGGGTTCGGATTTATGTTCGGATTTATGTTCGGACTTTATCTACGCCAATGTGTAGAGGCTAATTTTAAAATTTCAAAAAAAAAATCAAGCAAACTTTCGAGGGTGCTGTCGGTTGTACCCCTAAAAAAAAAAAGAAATACGTTCGGATCGGATTTACGGGATTCGGATTTTTTTCTATGTAAACTCACTTTTGCGGTTTAAATACGAACTGGAATCTCTAAGAATATTCACATATCTTTGTATGGATATTGCACAGCACAATGAAAACAGTATTCACATGCCTTTTTTTCTTAAAAGAGTGTGAGGGGATCCAGACTCCGGAATCCGGGGGACCTGGTCACTGGTCAGTGTGGTTAGTGGTAGCCTGCGCCGGGGGCAAATGGATAACGGTAGGGTAATTTTCGGAGAGTCAGAGAGTAAAGGAGCTTGGTGGATGGTCAGGATTCACATTTCACAGGCAGGGCCTAAAAAATAAGGAAGGCCGCGAGCCCGCGACGTCCTTTATGCACGAAATTGCCTAAACTCTAAAGTCCTAAACTCTAAAAAGAGCAAGGCCCAAGAGACACAGACAGTCACAGTTGCGTTCTATTTATATATTTTTTTGTCAGTGTAAAACCAAAATGGCAAGAAGAGTCATCAGTCAGCGTCACCAGTATTTGTTTAAAAAAATGACTCTCAACTTTTGCTCTCACAACACACAAGTCTGCCTCTGTACTTGTGAAGAAGTGGACAATCAACAGACAGACAACATGTGTAGGTCTGTAAAACTAAACATAAATATATCGAGAAGTTTGTTGTATTTATTTTCACGACTCTCGTCTCAGAGAAGAAATAAAATAATATGCCTGATCAGTGATCGGACTATTGTCCGAAGTACATTTTTCGACTCTTGTACATAGGTATAAGAAAAAACAAATGTAAAAAAAACAACAACAATAGAGAGGGAAAAACTCAAGAATGCCTCTTTTTTTGTAGTGTTTTTATAAATATTTTGAAAATATATATTCAAAAAACAAACTAGTACAAAAAGAAAAAACTAAAACAAACACTGTACATATGTAAATAGCTTTATTTTTCATTAAAAAAATACCTGAAGCTATTTACTATTTACTCGAGAGTCGAGAGTCGAGAGTCGAGAGGGCGAGCGTGAATTATTATAGAGAATACAGACTGAGAGGCTGGGCCTCTCTCTCTTCTTCTCTCTCTCGAACTCTCACTCTCTCTTCGTGTGTTGTTGTTGTGTGCGTGTGAGAGGAACAGCCTCTGAACTCTGAAGTCTGAACTTCTGAAGTGAAAGTCTTGTGAACTTCCCGAAAAGTCTAATAACTATTTTTGTACGAACTACGAGTACAGTATGAACTACGAAGGCCGTAGCATACTTACAGAACATATATTCGACTTGCTCACCTCACTATTTTAGAAAATTTACATAATTATTTTTAATATTTATGGGGATATTTTAGTACTTTTATATATTTTTTGATCTCCTTTGTTATTTTTCTTCCAAAATAAACCGAATTAAAAGAACCTTGAGAGAAAGGTTTAGAATACGGGAGAAATGAATTCAATTTCGCCTTTGCAAGCCGAAGCCGACCGTGGCCCGAAGATGTGCCCTAACTCTTTTTTAAACTATGCCACAAGTTTTTATTAAAACAAATTTGCAGACCCACAGACTGTGGTCTGTGCCTCTGTGGGCATGAGTCAGGGACTCAGGGCTCAGGGCCTCGAGGCACTCGGGCTCGGTATCTAATTTAGAAGGATATGCTCAGTTGCTCACACAGGGGAACAAACCTCCTTTAGGGCACTCTCAAGTCTCAGGACTCAAGAGTCAGGACTCTCAGGACTTAAGCCTTCAGGCCTCCCACACAGTGACAGAGGGTTATTTATGCGGGTGCCGTTCAAATATTTATGTGTGTCGCATTGTATATTTATTGTGAATTTGTGGCCTTTTGATTTTAATTGTTTTATAGAAAAAAAATAAAAGCACTATTTTTTTTTATGTACAATATTTATGCATTTAGCAGTGGCCAGTGACGTGAGGCCGTGAGCACACGGCCACACGTATTGCAACATAAGTGAAATATTTAAATTGCTTGCACACACATAGCTGCTTCCAAAACCATAATAACAACGATCCAACGCAACAAACACAGTCATTTACCACGCTCCAATGCATATAGAAATCAAAAGACGGTGTTGGAGGTAGCCCGCCCTGCACACAGAATATTAGCATATTGCTTAAGAATTTAAAGGACAAATTACAGACATATCCATACAATTCCTCGCTCAGCGTTGATTGCAAATATGATAGAAGTGAGAAGAAATAACATCCCTGACGAAAATATATTATCACATCTTTCTGAGAAAGATTTACACTCCAAACAAGTGGGTAGCGGTTTCTTTCGTCGCCTCAGCTTTCGTAAGGGCAAACCTACCTTAAATCACATTCAGACATCGGGAGATAAGCACACGTCCGATGTGAGCAATGAATCCATATCAAATAATGTGAAAAGTCCAAATGCAATAGTCAACTCAATCACCCCGCCTCCTACTCTATGGGATAGCTCTTGCCGTCCCAGGCCAGTCAACGATCCTCCTGGGTTGCGTAGGAATCCAATCAGGCGCAGTGCTTCAATGCACAATAAATCTGCACCAAGCACGGGAATGGCCAGGAAACGAGAGGAATATTGGTTGAAACAATTGAATGTTCCTTGCGGCGATACAATAGCCACAGGATCTCTAGAGGAGCTGCGAAAGGCCGACCACAATGCTAGCTATCTGGCACCGCCCCCTTTGGGACAAACAAATTCAGATCTTGGTAGCTCACCACGTTCACAAACATCATCAATCCCCATCGAACGTAGACAAACATCACCAGCTACCATTCGGCAAACATCACCAAACAGCGTTTCTATTGTGGACGTTCAACATCGCCCCCTATTTGCGAGAGAAAGACCCTCCAGCTTCCATGACAACCGCAGACACAGCTCATGCATGGATATCCTCAATACACCTAAACGACGATCATTCTACGCAGGATCAGGGAGAATTTCTAGTGTGAACGACGAATTCGCAACCATTGCAGGTATCTTAATCATCGGGGTTATCAGTCTTCGCACTCGATTATATCACGAACTTCGTAGATCACGCATATTACCACGTTCTCCTTCATCTCACTGATTTCTCATTTCTATATTACAGAGAGTGACACGGCAACGGTTGAATCCCAGAAGACCGACAATGTTGTGTTGCATCAATCAAAATCGAATAGTAGCTGCTCATCTTCCAGTTCCTTGGCCAGCCACAACTGCACCTATACTCCAGTGTAAGTATTTTAGCTTCAGTATATACCAACAAACCTAACAGTGACTCGACAGACCTATACGAACTCGGAATGATACTGCTTGTTCCGCAGTTTATTTAAATGCAACTGCATGAAGCCAGCAGAACGAGTTTTCATCGAGTTATACCCAGCAAGTCTTTACGGCTCCATGACTTTATGCTGATCACACACCACCGTTTCTCCACCAATTTCGACTGGGCTCATAGATGAACCTATTTTCAAATCCCTCTTTCAGAATGTCTGGGGACAATCCGGAAGCAACTGCGTTCAAGCCGCTGCGCTTTGGAGATCGATCGATGTATGATGGACAAATAGACCCGGCTACTAAAATTTTCCATGGTATGTTATGTATCCTGGGCGTATATACACGGTGCCGCCTTACCATGAAGATACATTACACCAGCTGATGTTTTCGGTGCGATGGTTGTAGTGTAGCAAGATTTGAGTGTACATAATTACTTGTATACACTAACATGTCCGTAGGTAACAATTTGCTGCAAATAGTGTGGGATATCCCACAAACACAAGTAGATGTGCTTTCGCACTAGTGTTCTTTAGATGAAGTGAAGATATCTGAGACACACTGAATGCTAACAATATGGTGCATGGTACATGTGTAAGATATTATGCTTTACTAGAGGAACTTATCCGTTTGCGTACGGCTCTGCTCACGACCAGGTTGCGGAGTTATTATAACATCGAATCAATATTACTTTGGCGAGTGGTCGAGGGGATCACCATGCGGACTCGGAGTGTACGTGAACGTGGCGGAAAAATATAAATACGAGGGTAATTTCTCGATGGGATTTGCGGAGGGATTTGGACGATTTGTTTTTATGGGGAGCGAACCTCAGTATCAATATGGACTGTTCGAAGCAGGATGGTATGTTGCATGGGCACAAAATACATAGCACCCTATTATATCGGATTTTTAATACATCTTGACATCTGCATCACACAAGTTTAGAGGCGACACCGACTATTTTATGGGTTCTCGAATAGAAAAGATGGTTTTATTAACATATTCATTTGTCCATTTCCTATCCAGCTTAATCGAGAGCGACCCGTCGTGTATACTAAAATATCGGTGTGCAGCGGCGGATGCCGCGGATGGTGCGCGTGAGCTGATGGGTTCACTCTTATATGGTGTCTCGATAGAATGCCAAAACCATGTGGTCGCACTAGCGAAAACCACTAATCAGTGGAAAATAGAAACTTTAAGGCATAGAAAGCCGATACCCCTATTACATATACCGTTCGATTCCGAAGGTATAGCTGCGGTAAATATAGCTTACAATACTGCTTGAACAGCAAAGGACGTGAAGACGTAAAGTATGTGACTAATATTGAGTGTCAACGCATCTGATAGACGCTTAACATTTATTGCGTACCAAGGTTGTTAGCAACCAAAAATAAAAATATACATTTAATCTCTCGAGTAATTCATATTTTTATATACTTGTGTCACTTCTAAGATATGCTCTCATGTAAATACACAGACAAAAAAATTCAAAAATCAATTCCATAGAGAAAAACGACTTGATATATAGAGAATACAAATAAATACATTGTATCATTCGTGTGTTTTTTTATATGTTGCAGATATAGATTGATCAATGGATTAATAATGCAAACGTGGATATATATATACATACATACATACATACA